TTTCCTTCGCCTGCTCTGCTCGTGTTGCCCGGCCTTTGTTTTTCCGGTCCGAGTCCCTCGCGTACTAGCCCTATGCGCGACCAGCTTGCAACATGCTGCAATTTGTTGCAAAATATTGCAAAATGCTGCAACATGCTGCAATTTGCAGCAACATACTGTTTGAGCTTATTGCTTGTACTATGTAGCAGCTTTCGTCCAGCGTTCCTCCTGTCTTGACAGTAGGTGCGCATATCTGACAATATATAGTGTTCTTAAAACTACCTTTCTTTCTTTATAGTAGTAGCTTACTTTGTTAGTATGCGTGTATAGGCTACTATTATAAGAACTTTATACCTAACAATAGCTAAATGCCTTACACACTTAGTAAGACCTTTTAATTAGCTTTAAAAACTTATATAGTAACTATACTAGTAGTATGTAAGCCTCTAAGATAGCTACTATTATTAATAAGTATAATATTATATTAAAATTTAGCTGCTTTATTAAAGATAATATGTTAAATAATAATAATAAGCTTATTTAAAGCCTTAATAAAAAGCCTAACCTACTATATAAGCTTAATAAATAGCACTAAATCTACTACGCAGCTTATATAATCTAGGTAGTTATTAAAGCTATTAACGTACCTAACGGGTTGGCCGGCCACACGGGTTGGCCGGCCACTTTTGCTAAGCCCCCACTAACCTCTACCTATCTACATAATGCCTTAACAACAACACTAGATTAAATCTTCTAAAGAACGTTAGATATAGCTTGCTCTTTAGGCTTTTAAACAAGACTTAAAACTCTTCTTACAACGCGCTGCAGCTATCTATAATATCTCTTACACAACACTAAGCAATTAACGCGCTAGACAGCCTTTACAAGCAGAATGCTAGCCTAAATTAAGGAATCTAACTAAGCTTAAAAAGGAGGTAGTTGTTAAGTACATACTTAAGCTTATTACGCGCAGATTTCCCTCTAGGCTTACAGCTGTAGCTAATATAGCTAATTCCTTGCCCGCAGAGCGTAATCTAGGCTAGGTTAGCTTAAACTAGACTAGTATGTGGGTTAAGCACTGCTCTAAGTTTATAATAAAGTTTAATTACAAGTATAATTATAAGAGAGCGCTCTATAAGGATCTAGAGGTTATCTAGGGCTAGTTTCGCCTAGTAGCTAACATAAAAGCTAAGTACAGTATCTAGAATAAAGACAGGTATAACTTTAACAAGTTAGGCTTTATAATAGGCTAGATATTAACTAAAGTAGTTGTTACAGCTTTAGAGAGACAAGGACAGCTAAAGGCAATATAGTAAGGTAAAAGGGAGTAGATAATAGTTATCTAGGGCATTAACGCAACAGGGTGGGCTATAAGATTATAAAGCTTTAAGCAGTAAATAAAGCTGCTACGCAATGTAGATTGCATAAAAGAAAGCAAATTTAGGCAAAAAGGACCTTAATAGTTAAGGATAGGGCTTGTCTAACTGCTCTAAAGGAGTTTAGAGCGCGTAGTAATAGGAAGAAGCTAAAGACGCAGGTGCACACTAAAGAAGGTAAGCTAAGTTAAAGGCAATGCAGGCAGTGCAATTAGACTAGGCATAACTTGTGTACGTGTAAGCAAGTAGCAGAAGTAGACTCTAAATAATATCTTATGTTGTATTACTCTATACAGGGCTAAAGTAGGCTGTTTTGCGAGAGAATAGGGTGGTTTTAGTAGGGGCTTGGCAAAAGTGGCCGGCCAACCCGTGTGGCCGGCCAACCCGTTAGGTACGTTATATATAGTAACAGTGTTATAAAATTTAAGTAGAAGCTTACTAACGCTGCTTTATATAATTAATATAAGCTATATAAAAAGCATAGAGTTGTTAGATATCTCTATAACTTTATAAACAGTGTGCTAGCATTATATAAGTATATAACGCTTTTTAAGACTCTTTAAATTAATATTATAAAAAAGAACCTAATTTAGTAGTTTTCTATACTTAATTTAGTGCATAATAGTAAAGTACACTAGCACTTAGTTTACTTTATGCTATTACACTATTATAAGCTTAGAGAGGTTATTAGTTACTTTTAATAATAATAAAAAAGCTTTTTTAATGCTAATAAAAAGACTTAATAAGCTAGCTTTTATACTTTAGTAGATTTTATTACTAAAAATAATTAGAATAAAATTAAGCACTTTAAAGACTTTTTAAAAAAGGTTTATTAAATAATAAAAAAACTTAAGAGCTAAAGCTTAGTTAGCTTATGTTGCGTTTGCTAAAAGGTTAACCTTCTAGCTAGCACAGCAGAAGGATATATATAGACAGATAGCTGTACGCGACACACCCCCTAGCTTAAACTGTGGAACAAGAGAGGTAAAACATGGTGAAACAACCTTAGCACACCCTCCCTAGCCTAAGCAACAGAACTTAGAGACAGATCTAAATACAAGGTAGCCTCTGTAATAGGCGCACTGCCTAAATGCTTTTTGCTAAGCGTGGGAATTAAACACGTAGTGCTTAGGGATAATGCGATCCTACTAGTGGAGTAGGGAGAGCAGGGATGTGAAAATTTTTGTGCGCTAACTATCTACACTACGCTGCGAACTAGGCTTATAACTGTTGCGTTTGCTAAAAGGTTAACCTTCTAGCTAGCATAGCAGAAGGATATATATAGACGGATAGCTGTACGCGACAGCTTACTATAAAAAACTTTAATAAAGCTTTAGTACCTCTAAATTTACTTTAATTAAATAAAAGTAATTACTGCTAATAAGCTAAGTAACTAATACTTTAAAAATACTATTAAGTTTAGCTATTAAAAGCTTACTACTTACTAAAGTAAACTAATTTTTAATTTACTAGTTTTATACTATATAGTTACTACTATTTTTAACTTTTAATTACACTTACTTCAGTTTTAAGATTACTAGCAGCATTATAAAAGCTAAGTAGATAAAGTAACTAAGTTAATAAAAATAATCTTTAACTAGTATTTAAATGCTAAAAATAAGTATAAAGTTAAAGATAAACTATTCTCTTTTAGGCGTTATAAGCTGCTAGGTAGCAACTATTATAATACTAATTATAAAGCTTACCTTTCTGTTAACCTCTCTTTTATAATAAATTAGCGCTTACATAAGTGTAAAAAGGTGTTAAATAAGCTATAGCTTTACTATAACTTTATAAAAGCTAATTACTATAAAGATTACTCTTTACTTTATAAAAAACCAGCCACCGCCGCAACCAGACTGGACCAGAGCTGAGCCTACCCTGCCCCTAGACCTATATGCCTGTGCTAATCACAAAAATGCCTTATCTCCTAGCAAGTAGAGAATCACGGCTCCAGGCGGAGCAGAATGTGGACCACAGAGAGAAACAAGAGAAGATGGATTCATCCTCACCGCTGTCACCAAGTCCGAAATCCGGCCGTTGTCCTACTAGGCTACGCCTCATAACTTGGTCTAACACGTCACATTCTGCGGCTAGCATCTTCCCCCTAAACTAGACTAAGTTTAGAGCAACAGCCTAATCTAGTGTACATAGATAAAGAGGACAGAAACTAGAGCAGCGCATTAGATTACCCCTTAGTTAGTGGAGGTGCAGCCGTAGCATTGAGCGAGTTGGGCGACCTGAAGAGTAGTAGAAGAGCATGGGGATGCTGGATCGGAATTTTCGCCGTACATTGTAACTACGCCGTTCGTTCGTTATGATTACGACTAGTGGTAATGTGAAGCTTACTGGCGCATCCAGGGTCTTCGGTCACAACTTGAAAACTTTCGCCAACATTTAGATGCAGCGGAGCACATGTCCCATTAGGGTATCCATCCGGGCCATTGAGAATACCGATGGAGTCTGAACAGCGCTGATCTGTGAACGTTGCAATATTCGTCGATAAAGTAAGCGAGACGAAGCAAAATAGAAGTACAAGAGTCGCCATGATGAGAAAGTGCAACAATCATCAAAATCCAAACTCCCAAGTTCCCTGAAGAGATTGTAGCTCCAGTGTGAAACTCAATGAATCGGCAGCTGAGCAGTTAGATGGGACTACGCATCTTATGAATTCTTGAAGGATTTACCCATTACTTCATACAAGGGGAAGTTGCGCTGTGTTACTGTGGCGTAAGGGCCTCATCTACTTGGGAATTTGCTGTTTTTAGAGAACGGGTTGGTACGGGGTTGTTTGTGACATAAAAGAGGGTCGAGACAAAGTCTCGTTCCAGGAATAGCGTACTGTTGGTGGATTGGACTTACGCCTGATGAGCTTCAAGCCTCCACGCAATCTGAGGGACTCGTACTCCTCTTTATGCCTGCAAACGATGGGTTAACGGTTAATTTCTCGTTTTCGGTGGTTAAATATACTGTTTCTATGTTCCTTTCGACAATTACCAGTCGAATAGAAAGCGGAGGGAACAAGCCAGTTTTATCGCTTATTGTTTCCACTTGCTATTAAATCCTAGTCACTAAGTAAGATTTACTGTATCGCTACCATGATCTTATTGACAGACAACTGGCATCGACATGAATTTGCAAGGATGTCTTGGTTACGAATATGGGGGCCCACGAGCGCAGCCGCCGGGGGTCATTTACTATCTGCATCCAATCGAAAGGACTCAAAATTTTTAATTCCAGTAATCGTACATGAGAAGTCAGACTTAATTTCGGTAATCGCTTCACGTTCGGAATCCTTCTGGCGCCATTTAAAACGGTCCGAAGCGCTTATAGATAAGATTTGTGCGAAAGCAGACCATTCCTTGGAATCGTCATGCGCGAGAACCGAAGAGCTGAGAAATGCCACATCCAATGGTACCGACGATGCACAACATCCAAACAATTAAGTTGTTACACTCTCCTAAATGATGCACAATGCTTCGAGCTGGAGGAATTTAATCTCTAGCAGCTCGTCGACTACAACGTCTCGTCCCCACATTATCCTAATCCGTATCGCTAAGCACCGCCTTAAATGTGACGGCTATAGTGTAAACGAGGCATTCGAATTCGAATCTCTACATGCGATTCTACGCCTAGTAATTGAATTCAAGGTATGAAAGCTCCATCCTGCGCTTTCAACAGTCACTACTACTTTCCTATTGTATAGTTGCAGATTCCAAACTATCCCAAAGCGCAGCCCCTACTATCTCAGTGCTAGGTACTGCCAAGCCTTTCCCTTCGTTTTCCTCGCGCACTGCTTCACTCTTCCTGCTTTCCGCTATCGCAGTCCTAATCTCAGTTACGCTTACATCGCGGTGCTCGGTACACTTAAGCGGCGGGCTTCGTCCCTGGGACTCATGGAAAAATCTTGAGTAGTAAAATTCGTGGTCTGGGCCATCTTCATCGCACATCTCTTCTTCTGTAAACTCTTGAATCTGCGGGTAGCATTCGTCACACCAATGGTATCCTGGATACGGCTCCGCTTCATTCGCATCGTTGCGAAGCAAGATCCTGCCACACAGCTTGTTCGAGCAGCACACCGTATTAGCCATCTTAGGCCAATCTTCCCTGAATTCGAACACGTTTCGAATGAACATTGAGGAGCCATTGCTTTTGAGCATCAGCTTGCGACAAATGTCGTTGCACTCATGTGTGCGGAAGAAAAGCTTGAAGCCCTCCTCGTTAGAGTTCGTTTTAGAGCGGTCGAAACGATTTTGATCACGTGTATGGATCACGGGATCAGTTAGTAATTCGCCCACGCCTTGCAGATCACAAACTAAAAACTGCCCCCGTGAACGCTCGAACGTGAAGTGTGAGAAAGCTTGTGCCGCCTGGTTGGATGGGTCGTCGGGGATATCCGTGTTTACGTAACCGTCATTACCGTTATACTTGACGTGGGTACCGTCAACATAGGGTTCTATGGATATGTATTCGTCCCCGAATGTCTTTCTTGATCTTCCCTTGAAGCACGCTGTCACGATAAAATCGATCGAGTGCTCGTTCCCTAAAACGGCGTTGAACTCGAGGGCAAAAGATTTGCACAGCGCTTGGATCCGCATGTCTTCGATTAAGTCGTCGATCCGCGATCCTGGTTTCTTGAACCACTTGACCACGTAGTGATTGTTCGAGGCATCTGTACGGGCGTATGAAACCGCACGTAGAGAACCTTGAGCAAACGGCTGCGGGCGCTTGTGGATTGTAAGGTCCATCCGGCTCATGGTGATGCTGGAGTCCTGTGCCATCATATCGTTAAGTGTATTGGCACCGCGTACGATAACATCCGGGGAGAAACCCTGTACTATGAGCGTCTCATTGAGCCATTCCATCGTCCATTGCGGACAGACATTCTCCAGAGGCATGTTAGGGGTGGATTCGATGTTGTCTTGCGGCACCGTGCGGATTGCTGTATGAGTAGCAGAAGTAGTGACAGCATTGATAACCAGACGCTGCAGCGCATGGAAGGTGATACCCAGTCCAGCCTCTTGGAATAATAGTCCGCCTGCAGTGTTGGGTTTGATGTGGCTGGTAGCATAACTGAAGTACTTGTTGGTATTAAGCAGTGTGCAATGTGCTGAAGCCGCAGCGTAGGCTTGTAGGAACGTATAGGCCATGCGGTCTGTATAGTTATTGATACGAAGCAGACAATAATTAATACGGAGACCAATCATCCGGATCAACAGCGGTGCGTGCATAAGGCGATGCGGCTCGCTGCCGGGGTTGGGATAGTTGTCGTAATAGTCGCCAAGGTCGTGCAATGTTCGGCCATGGGGTGGTGCATCAGCGATGTGGATGATGCATCGTGTCCTGTGCATCCACGTTGCGTTGAGTGCCTGATTAAGTCCCCCAAGCACGTCTTCGGGTGTGTCCGCCCCTCCAGTGGCCCTCAACCCACTAAAAAACGACCGCACTTGATCAGCCGACGTCGTGAAGTTGAGAAACTGGATATTTGGCGAATCACCGTGATCTTTGTACCCTACTACGGCCATACGGATTTCCGCTTCGTTGAAGAAAGCCACTTTGATGTCGTTAATGATGCTCCGAACCTGCTCCTTAGCAGCCTCGATATAGCTCGACATAGAGCTGGTAGTATCGATGAGGAAAAGCAAATCGGTAGAACAGATGGCCTTGAAAAGTCCTGCAGTAGACTGCCGTGGAGCGTCATTGGTCGCTTTCAATCCTTCTACCTCACGACGTAGCTTTTCGAACTCATCATCTTTAGTGCGAGCCTCTTCCTCTTTGGCGCGATTCTGCTCGCGAGTGCGGACAGGTACGTTTGAAGGCTTGCCGGGTTGGGCACCTGGCGCGGAGCTGTGATGGGGACGATTCGAAGGCATTTTAGGAGTGATTATAGTGCAGAGATGAGAGTGTTTGTCAATGCTAGAGCCTAGCCTCTGCAATGGAGACTAAGGGAAGGAAAGCTAAGAGAAGTGCTGGTTCATCTTTCTGTAACACGAAAAGATAAGACAAGGCAACAGTCAAATAGAATATGCGAATAGTAAATTTTAGAACACGCCGTTGTATGGTCATTGGGCATGAATTTCTTCTTTGCGAAGGGTGTGGAATTCCCACAAATGGGTGGTCACTGATCCAAGCTTGAGCGTAGTTCTTGTTTTGCAGGCCCAATGTAGCCAATGGCATCTTCTGGTAAAATGAGACAGCCGGTGAGCTATTTCCCATGGCTGCGATATGCGTGAGAATGCCCAATGGCCCGGCCTAGACTGACTCCTAGATTGGAAAGCTACCCACGAGAGACATGTTCTGGTTAGCCAAAATGAGGCAATCAGTAGGTTCTTAGCTCACAGTTCTACCATATGCGAGGTAATCCAAATATAATGCATAAATGGCGCTAGCTAGGCGAACTCGTGAAAGTGCCAAGTTTCCCGAGGAGAGGGAACTATGCAGTGAGACGGAAAATACCCCTAATCTTGAATAGCTAGCTTCCGTCATATCCGTCTATCTTACCACCCTATCAGTACTAGAAGTGCAACAATATCTTCTCCCGATCGTAGGTAGCACCTTCTACACCCTGCTTCTTGGCTCATCAATTTCGGTGACTTGGCGTCTCAACAACTACTCGTTTAATCATGGCTACGTTCGACCGGTGAAGGGAGTTTGGAAATACCTAGTAAGTCTAGACGCCTGCACGATTAGGTTTGTGTAGCGACGGTTATCTGCTATATGTGAGCCATACGCTAATCAAACACGTCATCCCGCACATAATCGCTACGGGCAAGAGGGAGTCCTGCGCTGTACGACCTGACGCGAGGGCGCAAAACATCCGTGCGTGTGCCCGTTCATCAGGCCGTGCAGATCCCCCCTTGTAGCTGTAAGAAAATGCAGCTACGTTGCACGGCAAGGAAAAGTCTGGCATGATTGGCAACTTCCAAAGCAGGTAGTGTATTAGAGATCAGCGTATTGACTTTAGTTATGTAGTGACTCGATCCGAGTGCTGGAGCGGGTGAAAAGACCGGCGATGAGAGGTTTTTGCATTGGGGGAGAAATATCAGGTCCTCCCACAGGCGACATCCACACTCAAGGGGTTGGCTACCATATGTCATCGCGCAGTATAGAAACTATCTAAATTTATCCTAGTTTTCTTCATCGCTATCATCCTCATTCTCCCGCTAATCGCAGTGAATATTAGTTAGTAAAAGCATACCCAGATCGTGGCATTCGAACGTACTAGATAAGCCAAGAGTGGAGAATAACAGTGGAAATGTCGCAAGCCAAGACTGTATAGTACGTGAAGAATAGTAGGAAATAGGGAAAACGAAAGACTGATTACTCACTTTCTCGATAGCACCAGTGAGGATTTGTCGCATCTAAATTCTCAGCTTTATTACTAAAAAGGAACGAAGTGTCGACTAACCGTCTTGAAATTTTGTAGCTTATTGTCACCCGAAAAGTCATCCACGTCGTAGTCCGCTATGGAGCGCACCCGTTAGTCAACTAACTAAAAATATAATGAATAGGATTCATGGTGATCAAGCATACAGGTGGACACAGATATATAGGGTTTGATGATCGGTTTACTCTTCAGGTCTTTGAGAAAGCGCCTGGCGTGGACATCATTGCCAATACGAGTGAATTGAAAGACAACCCCTGCAGCAGAGTTAGACAGTTCATATTAAGATTGAGCGGGAGATTTTGGGACTTACAATGAAGTTTATTCAAGCTCTTGAGATGATCGATGCAAGCTCTTATATTGTTTTCGAGCACTCCATCTTTTTCGCCTTCAATCTGTAGGACAAGAAATCTGTTACCCGGTATGATTTAAGCAATGCTTTATAGCACTTACCTTTCCATCAGTTATGACCATTATGAGCAGTGGCCGTCTCATGCCTTCATTAGAAAGCTTTTCGTAAACTAAAGGTTTCAGAATACGCTTTTTCAATTGTGTCCCAATTTCAGTGGTTCCCGAGAATTCATGACCCTGCAAGAGCTCCTCCAACGCGACCGCCGTTAGATTATCGGCGCGCGCAGCGTCGTCTCTCAGCCGATTGTGGTTCAGAAACCGGGCTGCAAGGATACCTCGGGGGGTGATCCCGTCATCGGCATACGCTAGCTTTGAATACATCTCTGCGATTACCTTGAGACCCTTTTTCAGAGCAGGTATACGTTTTCCCTCTTCCCTGCTCTGCATTGTGCCGCTGTCGTCTGTAAAATTTATTTTATTAACCTTTTGAGCTCTACTGATGAATAGTGTTCGGCTTACCAATTAACACAGCTATATCATACAACGCCATCAAACTTAAATCCGCCGCAACTTCTGTCGGACAACCCATACCATGAAGCTCGAATGCGTGAGCAGACGCTTTCCGCGCGTACATATTGAGGGTATCATTGGTGAAATCACGTTCGAACCCATTCTTCCTAACAAAACTTTTCAGCGCGTCGAGGCAATCGGTTTCCATTTCGTGAAGCGTTGACTTCTATTTCGTGTTATCTAGGCTTCAACTGGGGATGAAATAAATCGACATTTTAAGTTTAGGAAGCTTGCGGGACCTCAGGACGAAAGGACATACCACATCAAAATAATTCAGGAACGAATGAACCTCCACGTGTCCATTCCGCTTGGCCAGCGCAATTGCCGAATCTCTGTTGACTCTTCCCATTCCCCTTCCAGTAAGGAGGCTTTGGACGGTACTCATATGCCCGAGTTCCGCTGCTCTCTCCAACGCAGTGGTGTTGCAACAATTACATTGGGCTTTGGCGGGTAAAACAGTCTTGTTGTTGAGGAGGAAGTTGACAACGCTGACGTTTGGGACGGCGGCCGCGAAGTAGAGAGGCGTGCGACCATGGCGGTCAGGCGCATCTATATACTTTACACTGACGTCTATGAGTTTCTCAATAATTCTTGGGTCGCCTTTGATTGCTGCTATATGAATCGGCGTTTGTTTGGTTTCTGGGTCCATGGATTCCACTGTTGAAATATTGGCATGAGCTATAACATCAGCTAGGTTCCCTTGATTGATCGCATTGATGAGAGTCCGGTCCATTTTGGAATGAGGTATGTACAGCCGGCAGCGTTTTCGATAGGAAGGAGAGAAATTGTGAATGGACGAAGGAATAATTACCACAAAGGTACCGTAGCGAATATCAAACGAAAAAAGCTACTAGTCTAAACGGGAGCTATATTCGGAGGAAGTTTAGTGGTGGGGGATGCACTACTGCACTTGCAGAGCGCCTCTACTATGTGTGTGACGTGTCATTACCTTGACCATTGCCCCGCTACACACTACTACAGCTGGCAATCCAGATCGGTCAATTTACTCTATGCACATGCACCAACTAGCGCAATGCACATGAGTTACAGATGAGCCTCGAATAGGTTAGTTGAGGGAAAGGCGTCTCACCGGTGTGAATAGCGTATAATCCATCCCGTTCAGCTACGCCATGAGATGTGCTAATTTAACCGCTCGGCATCTTATTTGCATGAGTGCATAGTGCTAGAATGCTGGAAAAATTACACAGCAACTTCTTGTGGCACGGCACCAGTGCGCTTTTGTGAAGGTGGAAGGAGGACAGGTCCATCGTGTCCCCGGTGAATAGTGAGGCGTCAAAGTTTATTACCATACCTTTGAACGCAGTATATAAAATGTTCTTTTGTCCAGATCCTCCAAAAAAGACAACTTTGCACTGTTCATATACCTTTTCTCAGCGAAGTACTAAATTTGTACCATGTCTACCAAACGTCCCGAGAATTCCATCGCTCAGTATGAGTCTGGAAAGTCTAACGTGGGGGTGCTTGACCCCAATCGCGATCGCACCATCGACTTCGTATCTCAGGCACCCAAAGACAAGCAACTGTTCACTTATACACTCGATGAGGGGACTCTGTCAACTCCGAGCTACGTAGGGGACGCAATGGAGCGTACCTTTGCAGCAATACTTGTCCACGGAGATCAGGTACGCCGGCGTCCAGGAACCCAAGCAATGGGTTATTCCTCTGCGCGATTTGGTTCTTCTTTCCTTTTGAAGCCAGGCTAACGAAAGTTGGGTAAATTAAAGAAAATTATATTTTCGCTCCAGGATGATGGAGTTATTCAGGACCATCACATCAATGACGATTTCGTGTGGGGAACTGGGAGCCTAGCAACCCTAAAAGTTTCGCCACGGAAAACCGCAGGGTTCACAGCTATTTACGGGATGGGAAGTGTCCGGCTTTACATCCAAAACAGTTCTGGTGAGCTACAGGAGCTAATCATGGATGGAGCAACCAAAAAGTGGCAGCAACCTAGGACATTAGAGGGCACGAAGGCAATGGAAGGAGAGGCTATCAGTGCAGTAGGAACGGAGAACGAGGTAGCAGTGTTCTACGCGAATGAAGACAAAAGTGTTCACCAGGTTGTGTATAGAAATGGTGCCTGGAATGGTAAGAACAAAAGCCCCTCGATACGGTTCAAAGCTCGCAGGATAGTCACTAACGTGTTCTGAAGATACGGAAGTCCCAGCAACGAAAGAGACGACTACTGCTCCAATTCTGGTGACTGCATATTCGCCCAGCCCCGGAAACTACACGCTCCAATATACAAACGACATTGACGAGGTCTACGAAGTCGAAAATGGCAGGAAGACACAGATCGGGAAGATCACGAAGGATGATCAGTACCAGCCGAAGACCACGGCACAGCACGGAGGGTGTGTCTACATTCCCCGTCGCCGTTGCTGTCGCCGCTGTCGCAGGGTTATCATCATCATCTATGATGACTACTGCTGCTATTAGTGGAAATCCGGTATAACCGACGATTTCATCTACGCAAAAGGCGGGCCTTACCAAGTATGGCGGACGTGCAGCGGGAGATACAATAGTAAATCCATTAGTTATCACATGTTTCGTACAAATTGAACTTGGTGTCTCTCAATTCTGTTAATTGAAAATTCGGTTTAGCCCATTCCCCAAGGCAACAGCACGATATTGTCTCAAGGGCTGGACTCTTGAACTCTGTTCTTTGGACAATTTCTAGGAGCGTAAGTTTTTATTGAACAGTTGGAAGTTAACGTCGTTCATTGGCGGTTCGATTTAACTCGTCAAATCAAACAACACAAGGCTGTGGAGAAAACGGCAGCTCCGCCTTCCTGACGCCTATCTATTCGCTCTTTTTGGGAGGTGGTTATCTTGTTGTTTGAGGGCAATGCTATCCGGGTAGACGCGTCATACCTGTCGCACGTGTCTCACGCGATACCATCATCAAATATTACACTATCTCTACCGCCAAGCCCTCTCTCCTATTAGTCCGGATATAAGCCAGCTATTAATTTAATTAGTAGAAAATTAGTAACTAAAAAGCTAGGTTACTGTTTGTTTTTAAGCTTTAAGTAATTGTTCTGCTATGCTACATGCTTAATCTAGTCTTCTTTTTTTCCTATTATAATTAACTACTGCATAGTTAGGGGTGTAAAAATTACTTCTATAGTGTAATTTTTCCTACTAAATGTAATTAGCTCTGCTAAGACCTTCTAAGTAAAGCCTGCTATAGGCAAAAAAAGGGTTCTAGAGGATCTCCCCCTAGTTAAGCAAAATAGTAGTGTAACTTTAGGCTTTAGCTCTACATCTGCTCTAACTTGTTCTAATCTTTTCTAACTAGACATTATCTGCTTTAATACCTTTATAGCTTTAGTTAACCTTACTTTATAATAATAATAAGTTATAGTAAGCTACTATATTATAGCTATTTATAATGTATATAAGTGTATTAAGTTATTTTATGTTATTTACTAACCTTTATAAAGAATTATAAAGGCCTTAAGATTACACCTAATATAATATTAGCCTAATATAAAACACTTTTAACAATTTTTTTTTTTTAAGCTATAAAGCTATACTAATTATATTAAAATTAAAAGCATATTTACATACTATAAACTATTACATAGAGGGTAAAGGCTTAAAGGTGTTTTATTACTTAGAATAATAAGTTTAGATAGCTTAAATTTTTTTTTATATAAGATTTTTTTTTAAAAGTTTTTAGCTTAATTAAGTTTTTTTCTAAACTTAATAAAAACACTATTTTAGAAAAAGTTATACTTTTAAAGACTTTAAAAAAATTAATTTATTTAGTGTAGTATAAGCCTTACTGCGCTTAATTTTAATAAGTAAAATTTTAATTTACTTAAAGTTAATTTATCTTTAATTTACTTTAACTTTTTTTAATTAGTACTTTTTTTTTTAACTTATCCTTCTTTTTCTATTATATAGTGTTATCCCTTTATATTATTGCTATATAGACTTATTGCCTACTTTCTACCTAGTTTATAATAACTACAAACCTCTCTCTAACTTCTCTACTAATAAAGTTAGAGCTTTTTATTACTAGTATAATAAACATAGCTGTGCAGTATATTACTTTATTATAATTATTATATTTTTTAGCGCTTATATCTAGTTTTATCTAGGCATGTTAGCTATTAGCTAATGTTAACTTTAATGCATAACTTTTAAAACATGTTTAAGCTTATGCTACTATAGTCTAATTAGGTCTATGCTAGGGCTAACCTGCACATGCTAGGTGTAACACTGCATTAAGTAAAATACTAGTGCTTAATTAATTATTTTATACATATTAAGACTTTTTTAAGACTTTTACACTTTTTTTTACTTCTTCTATGCTATCTGTTTAGATCTATTATAATATATAATTAACCCTTTTTAAGTTCTTTACACTAACTTTTACTTCTTCTACACTATTTATATATATATATTATTATAATATATAGCTAACTTTATAAAGACTTATTTAATCTTTACTCTCTTAACACACTCTAGATTAGCCTACTTTATCTTTATTTATATGTAAAGATTAAAAGCAACTAAAGGCTAGTCTTTTATAAAATAATTTACTAAAGGCATATATTATTGCTACTATAGACTATATTACTCCTATTAACTTTAGTTTAATATAAAATTTTATAAGTAGCTGTCTTAACTATAGTGCCTTTTACTAGCTTAAAAAGTAGGTTAATAAGAGTTAAGCAGATTCTTCTTAGTACTCTATATGTTACCTAATAAGTAATATTAACTTTTTAACTTTTCTAGATTTACCTTTATTCTTATATTGTCTTTTATAGGGCAGGCACCTACTTAGCAGATCTTTTTAAAAGTATTTTTAATTATATAATACAGCCTTAGCTTTTACATTAGCTAACTATAAATAAATAAATTAAAATGCATGTAGCATAGGCGTAAAAGTTTTTTAAATTATAAAGAAGATGTACTATATACACAGCTTATTAAAGCTTACTAAAAGGGACATTTTTTTCTACGCATAGCTGTACTTTTATAATTCTGCCTAGGCTAACAGTGCGCGTATAGGGCATTAGGCTAATAGTAGTCTTAATCTAACTATACTTACACAGCTACTATAAATAGTTAAGATAGATTATAATAATTCTTAGATTAAAATATATAAAACTATATATAAGTAGTTACAGTAAGCTTATAAGTAAAATAAGAAATTATAAATTACTTTTAATTTATAACTATAGTTAATTATGTAGGCTAGGGCTAATTAATGTTAAAAGAACCTACTTATTACTAAAAAAATTACTACTCTAGTCTATAATAAGCTAGTTAAAGATTATAACTAAAATCTTATTTTTACTACTAATTTAGCTCTAATTTAAGACACTATTAGTTTTTATACTAAAAGATTAAACATACACATGCAGTATATTAGCCTCTCTACTACATTTTAATGTTTTTATAGAGTACTTTTAGGTTTTACTATAGTTTATAGCTATGTACTTTATGCATGTCTTACACCTAGAATACTCTAACTAATTTTAAGTATTACTAATTCTACTTATTTCTTTAGTGTAGTAGTTTTATTATGCCTTTTAATTATAGTCTATTATTCTAGCAATTTATTATTAACTACTAGGCTTAGTATAAATAAAAAAAGTTATAGTAAATTATAGTAAATTAAAGATAGTTACATGCTAATTTATATTAAGAAGTGTGTAAAGCATTAGATTAAAATAACTTTTAAGCTAATTTAGTTAAGATTTAGACTATTTTTTTTTAAGTTATATTAGTAGTAGTTGCTTTATTATGTAGTGTTATTAAAACTTTATAGCTATTATTTAAAAGCTTAGTTAACCTACTTTATTTATTACTTTTACTACTAATTCTAAATAGCTAGAGTTAGAGCAGGAGATTAGTACGTCCTTTTAGCTATTAGATTAGCTAGATCTAGTTATGCATGTTTTTAAGCTGCGTCTTAACTCCCTTCTTACAGACTTCTAGACTAACTATGTATTTAGCTAGTATACTAGTATTATATATACTATTAAGTACTAAAAGTAGAGTTTACTTTATGCTTATATTTTAGTTTTTTTATATTATAATTACTATAATTAGTTTCTTAATCTAAACTTTATTAATTAAGTTATATAAGCTAAGCTTCTTATAAAGGCTTAAAATTTAAATAAAGTCCTAAGTAATATTATTAAAACTACTATAGTTTATAGGCTATGTAGAACCTTAAATCCTAGCATGCCCTGTATACAGACTACAGAGCGTTCTCTCTAAGCAACCTATTAGAAGCAATTTCTAAAAGAATACACTAATAAAACTTTAGTTAGTAGAGACAGTTATCTTATATATTAGTGTTAACTTAGTTTAACTTAGGTTATAAAGTGTTATAGTTAAGACATTATAGTTAATAATTACTAAGTAGTGCTTTATAGTTTATACTTTTTATATAAGTATAACACATATATTAACATTAAGGTCTATACTTTTATAAAGTTAGTTAAATATATATATAAGTATATTTATAAAAGCACTAATTAAGTTATTATTTGTATCTAGTAAAAAGATAAGGTCACCTAGTATCTAAATATGCGCTATATTAGACTAACTAAAGCTGTTTAGTAATTAATAAAGTTTAAAGTTTATAAAAAAAAGCCTTTTATTATTTAATTAGCAGTGCATTTACTAAGACAGCATATAGTCACCTTTTATAATAAGAATAGTGCTAAATAGGTAGAGATTATAGTTAAATAAAAAAGATTGTTATTAATAAAATAGTTAAAGTATAATGCCTTTTATATAAATAAGTGTAATCTTCTTTACTAGAACTTTTTAACCTAGTATTATTAAAATATAGAGAAAGATAGTAGTAAATAGACTTAGTTTTAACATAATTAGTACTTTATTAGTTATGTCTACTTCTGCAGTTTTTTTTCTAAGAAGTGTTTCTATCTTAGAATGCTTTTTATATAAATCTTAGGTATAATTAGTTTTAAACATTTTTACACAGTTAATAGTTAGATCTAACCTACTTTTAAAGACACCTATTTAGCTCTTAATCTCTTAGTTAAGAATAAATTATAGTAGTATATATTTTTTAAGCTTTAGCATTTAGCACTTACTTTTAAGTTATATTATGTCTTCCTCTAGGCCCTAGTCTTTAAAAATATAAGTAATTTTATAGTGTTATAAAATAAGTTTTTCTAACATCTATCTAACAACCTGCCTTTTTGCTTAGAATAAATAGTGTTACCCTCTAGCATTACTAATTTTATAAAGAATTTATGCTTATAGCTAATTAACTAGGCTATGCTTAAGTTATTTAAAAAAAACCTTTCTAATTTTAACATGCTTATGCTATAAAAATATTAGGTATAAAAAGCTGTTAATTTATTAGTTGCTAAGCAGCTTAATTATAACACTATAAAGTAGGATCTTAATTATACTAATGTGTATAATAAGCTAAATAAGGCTTAACTAAAAGTTTTT